ACCACCCCTCCCCAAATGAGGCGATTGGTTCTCTGCTTTAAAGGAGACACCCTGCTGAGTTCCTAGAAAAAGGCTGTTATGCTTGAAGCAGGGGCGGACTGACAACTCATGGGGTCCCAGGGCAATAGGGGGCCTCTGTGTCCTTGCCCAAACTCAAAAAGGCCTATGAAAAAGGTACCAGGGGCATTTCATGGGGCCCCCTACTGACCCCGGGCCCTCGGGCAGTGCCCGAGTTTCCAAATGGTCAGTCCGCCAGCTTAAAGGCAGGGAAAATTGAATGGCAGACAGGTGGGGAGGGGGCAGTATTCAACTGATCCCCATGTGTGGCTCTCAGCTGCTGCAGGGAAAGATCCACACAGGGATTGGTTGCCCCTTCACCACACCAGTCACCCTCCCTGCCCACCATCTGATTCCCCCTGCTGCCTTAACCCCCTGTGTGTCCTTTACCTCTGCAGCGCTGGCAGCCCCCCTCTCCTCTCTCCCGCGAGCCACAGGGGGATTGTTCAGGATGAGGGGGGGGTAAATATGTCATATTTTCCGACCCTTCCTTTTCTGAAGTGGGGTTGATTTACTAAAGGCAAATAGTTGCACTCATTTTCCTTATTACATGTGGTTGTGGTAAAGCTTCACTTTGTAAAGAATACCCAGTCAGATGTAAGGAAAATTAGAAAAAAAAAAAAAGGCAATTTTACTTGCACGTGATAAGATGATCGAAAGCAGCAGAGCTTTACCGTATTTACTAAGCTCTGGGAAAAATAGGTGCAACTGCACTTGCAAAGTGCACAATCTATTTACCTTTAGTAAATCCACCCCAGTGAGTGATCTGTACTGATCACTCACTGTGTTCATTCATAACGCAATCATAGTAAACTGTTATGGGCAGCACAGTGGCTAAATGGATAGCACTTCCGCCTTGCAGTACTAGGGTCGTCGGTTCGAATCCCAGCCACGGCACCACCTTCCTGGAGTTTGCATGTTCTCCCTGTGCCTGTGTGGGTTTCCTCGGGGGGTACTCCGGTTTCTTCCCACACTCCAAAGACATGCTGGTAGATTAATTTGGATTCTGTCTAAATTGGCCCTAGTATGTGTATGTATGACTGTTAGGAACCTTAGATTGTACGCCCCTTGAGGGTTAGGGACTGATGTGAATGTATAATATATATATATATATGTGTGTAAAGCGCTGCGTAAATTGACAGCGCTATATATGTACCTGAAATAAATAAATAACTGTGTTTGTGAATGAACAATACAGCGTGCTTCCTGTTCATTCATTCTGCAGTGCAGTTGTGCTGCAGAGAAAGCATTGGGGATCTATGTCCTCAATTCTTTTCTGTCTCAAAAAAGTGAGTCTTTTTAGACCCCTGATATATCACCAAAGCACCCCCAACAGCATTATAAAATATTTAAAAATCAGTTAAAAACTGTAAGAAACCATTTAAAATGATTAAATTTAAATAAAAATAATTAAAAAAAAAAAAAGGTCTTATTTCCTGGGTTCTCTGGCCCATACAGTGTGAATGAGCTGTGTGTTTGTGGCTGTTACTATATGGTGACACAGCGGTTGTATGAATGCAGCTGCCGGTCCTAATTTGACAGATATGCAGGTGTGGGTGAGTGGCCCCAAATGCACACTGTCTGGGTTTGGGGGCCACACACCTGTCAAATTAGGATCTGTGGCTGTGTTCGTACAGCTGATAGGTCCCCATAGCATAACATAGGCTGCCTGCACACAGCTCCAACCACATAAACAAACCACTGATTCACACTGTACAGGCCACATCATCCATGTGAATGAGCCCAAAGACCTCATTCACACACAACTTTATCAACTCAATATAGTTTTATCTTTTGCAGGAATTTATGTTGTGTTTGTGTCCACTAATATTGATTTTGATGTATTTTTTTAGCAAAAATATAATTAGTTATTTTTTGGGACTGTATGGGGCCCTGTGATTTTTTTAACAGCAGTCCTAATGGACATTAATTTTTTTTAAGAACTTTATGCTGGAAAGCAGCACTTCCATATTTCTCGCCATGGTGAGACTTTTGTGCCCACCCCCTGGCCTAAATCTCAGGAAATCCCTGTGGCACATTTGTGCAAATGTTGGGTACCTGAAGTCCATGCACACACAAAGACTGATGAAAGGTAAATCTGAAAGCTTCACTTTCTTTGTATGTGTGGAAATTACACTGTGGGGGAGATTTACTAAAGCTGGTTCGCTCAGAATCTGGTGTAGCTGTGCATGGTAGCCAATCAGCTTCTAACCTCAGCTTGTTTAATTAAGCTTTAGCAAACAAACCTGGAAGCTGATTGGTTTCCATGCAGAAGTGCACAAGATTCTGAGTGACCCAGGTTTAGAAAATATACCCGTGTGTGCACAGCTGTGCCAACAAGCTGGGCATATCCCATGGGCACATCTGTGCATGCCCCATAATTATAGCACCGCGGGGCAGAGCCAGCTAAGGAAGGTGACTGATGTTCTTTTTTAAATGTTGTCAGGTCTCTGATGAAGGGGAGGAATGAAGGTGGATGTGTACATCAGGCAACAGGATGGCTCCCTTCTCTGCTTTTTAGCTAAGATCAAGTGTAGTATCTGTTCTTATCAGTTTTTGGGAAGAGAAATGCCAATGCCTCTTGTTGAGTGGGGCGCTGGTTAGTACCCCTCCTGATGTAATTAGGTATGGAGCTGTGGGCGGGTTCCTTTTTCCTCCTGGGTTGATTCTAGCCCACAGGCTTGTCCCCAGTGTTGGCAGGGCTCTCCCTAAACTTGACTGCCTTCCTGGTAGGGATAAGAGCGGCACTAGTTTGGCTGAGGGCCAGGCTGTGAAAGAAGCCTGTGGTGTATGTGCCCCTGGAGTGGCAGTCTGGGGGTGCTGAAATTCTCATGATGAGGGAGCTTACTTTGGGTTTTAGGCACCATGGTCACTACACCAGTCATGCTTTTTTTTTTTTTGAACTTGCCTCTGGGGCTGGGCCTTTTGGCCAGAACCAGAGAAATTTTTTATTCCTGGCCAAATGGCCTGCCATAGTATTGCACTATGGCACTAAGCACTTGTCCACTTCCCCTTTCCCCCTTTTTTTTCTATGATAGCCACTTGCATAGCACTGTACGCACTGCATCACTTTCCTGATTAGTAGGGTGTAGGTTCTCGGGCCTGCCCTGATAGTCTTGGGTGGGGGAGTCATGTGGCTTTTTTGGTCAGGTTCTCACCCTCCCATGGGGTCTTCCTTCAGGGGAGCCCCACTAAGTACTTGGGGTGACTTTGCTTCGGCAGGCCTCCTCTAGAAAGGGGTCCGCCTGGTTTCGGCCTTAGTCCCTGTCAGGAGCCTTGTGCCCCAGGCAGGGCTGTTGTTAGAAACCATGGGGCCCTGTACAGCCAACCTGACAGGGCCCCACCAAAGAAAACAGTTTACTATGCTTCAGTTATGAACACAGTCAGTGCTTGGTACTGAGCACTCATTGTGTTCATTCTGGAAAGAAAGGGGCTGGTAAATGTGACATTTATGGGACCCTTCCCCTACTCTCATCCTGAAGGATCCACGTGTGTGCTTGAAGCTGCCCATGGGAAGAAGAGGAGGGAAGGCGGCAGCACTGCGGGAGGGGGGGCAGATAGCGGGGCCTGGGAGGCAGGGGGAGATGTATGGTGCACGGGGAGGGTGATGGGTGTGTTGGGGTGATAATTACTGGAACTGATCCCCTGTATGGCTTTCTCTGCTGCAGCTGAAATCCAGCAGGAGGGAGAGAAGAAATCAGGTTCCAGCTGCTGCAGAGAGGGGATCGGTTCCAGTAATTGCCCCAACCCCCCACTGTGTTGATTATCCTCCCTGCTAGCCATACAGGAGATTAGTGGTACCCCTTTATCCACAGCCCTAGCCCCAGGGGATCAGGACTAGAGCCCTTTCTCTTCGGAGGAGGGCCAGACGCGCCCCGGAGGAGGGCCAGACGCACGCCCCGGAGGAGGGCCAGACGCACGCGCCCCGGAGGAGGGCCAGACGCACGCGCGCCAGACGCACGGAGGAGGGCCAGACGCACGCGCCCCGGAGGAGGGCCAGACGCCCGCGTCCAGGAGGAGGGCCACACACCCCGGAGGAGGGCCAGACACACACCCCGGAGGAGGGCCAGACGCGCGCGTCCAGGAGGAGGGCCAGACGCACGCGCCCCGGAGGAGGGCCAGACATACACCCGGAGGAGGGCCAGACATACACCCCGTGCACTTTTTTACGTGCTCACATCTTTTTTTTGCACAGAGTGCTAGTTTTGTGTGTTCACGGCACTGTGCGGGACTTCAGATAACAGCATAGCCCCTTGATTTTAGTGGGGTTGTCACGGGTGCCCGCCTCCCCCTACACCTATTGTTGATTTTCATGGTGCTGCTCTATGGAACATACAGACCTGGAACAATACATCGCTGAAACACAAACACTCCCTTGAATTTTGCCGGGTTCAATATAGCCACCTATGAGCCCCGCCTGTTTCCCCGCCCTCCTTTCTGCCAGCACTTCTATATCTCCTACTGGCTCTGGCCGGGTCCGCTACAGCAGCTCCCTTTCCCATAGGCTGACATGGCTGTCATGTCGGGATCCTATTGGCCATTCTCACAAACCAATGCCAAAGTCGTAACGTGGCACACGAGTCTAGGGGTCGCAGGGGGGTTTCCGGCAATGGTAAAGTCCGGTCTCTTCCACTTTTAGTGTACAGTGGTAGGTCGGCATGTGGGTACACAGCGGGCTAATGGCAGCCCACAGAACACAGATAGTCATTCTTCTCTTAGTAGCAAGCTATTGAAATGGAAGAGTTCATTAGTGTGAGGAGGGGAGCGGTCCTGTGAATGATAACATAATTTCCGGTCTACTCATGTCTGACAGCCTATAGTGCCTCAGAGAATCCCCGCCCCTTTTCCCCCGTCCTCCTCAAATTGGTCTCGCCCTCTGTCACGGTGACGTCAGCTCTGCAGTCCCTTTTCTTCTCTTGGTGGTAGGCCGCTCGTGTCTTTTGATGCTGCGGGTGCTGGAGAGGAACATGAAGCTTCTGTTCGCCGCCGCCCTGATCGCGGGCTCCGTCATCTTCCTGCTCTTCCCTAGTGCGTCCCAGGCCGATGAGAAGAAGAAGGGACCCAAGGTTACCGTCAAGGTAATGTGGAGCTCCGAGTTCCAGAGTGTGGGCGGCTTCCCTCCATGACTGAGGGAGAACGAGTGTGTGGGACTCCCCTCCATGACTGACCCCGCAATGGTCCTCATAGGGGGAGAATAGACTGCAAGAGAACCACAGTTCAGGGAACAAGGAGCACAGCCACTATACAATGAATAGCCAATCACAGGCGAGAAAAGACAAAAAGTACCTCTGCTGGCTCATGATTGGATGATGGAGGTCAGCTGATCTTCACCTTTGGGGAAAATTCCATTACAAAGTGTTCTATTTACCTTGGGGCCCATTCACACCTCATGCAGTTTTCATGGCATTCCAACTGCATGTATAGTCCAAAGCCCAGGCTATCCTATGGGCAGAGTGCGCACCATTACAGTGCTAAAAAGTACACCATGCTGCATTTATCTGCACTGCCGTGCATCACAGGGCATAGAGGAGCCAAGGGAAGAAAGGAGGGGGCGACCTCACAGGACAAACGCAGATAGAAAAAACGCACATCAACTGCATGCAAAGAGAAAATGTGCAGCTTCTTGTGTGAATGGGCCCTTAGGTGCAGATCAGGGTGTGAAACATTGCGTAGTATACCCGACGTGTAACGACTGGCAGGCGCAAAGCCCACCAAACGCTACACTTTCAAGTAAATCTGGGAGCACCACACATGTTTGCAGAGAAAATGAGGTTAAAACAGGCGGTGAGGAGGTGCCACATCACTTCATCTCCTATCAATAGCCTCTGAAGTGCGATCCGAATGCGGATCAGTTTTCAGAGGATATGGAGATTTAAGACACATGTCTAACTCTATCCTTAAAGGGGAAGTGAAGGCTTTGTATTGCAGAAGAGATGTGCAGCTAAATACACCTACATGCCTGCTGACAGTCTTCTATGGTATGTGACCTGAGCATGGTGTGTGGTCCCTGTGTGCCGGCTTGACTGGCTACTGCCATGCACAGAGGTGATATCATCCTGTGCTGGTCAATGCAGATGCCCAAAGACTGGCATGCAGAAGAAGCCATCAAGGGACACAGACCATGAGAGAGGTTAGTTTAGTGACTTTAGTCCTGCTTTAAATCTTCCCCCATGTGCCATGTATGGGCTTCTTCTGTCATCCTGACTGATCCTCCCATTGGGTTCCCATAGGGGGCAGAAGACTGCTCTGTATAAGATGAGTGATCCTCCCATAGGGGGCAGAAGACTGTATGCTGTGTATAAGATGAGCGATCCTCCCATAGGGGGCAGAAGACTGTATGCTGTATATAAGATGAGCGATCCTCCCATAGGGGGCAGAAGACTGTATGCTGTATATAAGATGAGTGATCCTGTCATGGGGTTACACTAGGACAGTGTTTCTCAACTCCAGTCCTCATGGACCCCCAACAGGTCATGTTTTCAGGATTTCCATTATTTTGCACAGGTGATTTGATCAGTTTCACTGCCTTAGTAATTACCACAGCTGTTTCATCTGAGGGAAATCCTGAAAACATGACCTGTTGGGGGTCCATGAGGACTGGAGTTGAGAAACACTGCACTAGGAGGACAAATAATTGTGTGCAGTGTATAGTCTGCTGCTATACTGACCCTCTCATTGGATTCCCATAGAGGGACAGATGTGCCATTTATGGAATTCTGCTTTTCCTCACTGACCATCTCATTTCTTATATAGGGAGGGCAGAAAACTATGTACAGTGTATTGGCTGCTGCCATCCCTGGTTTGTATCATTGGGTTTTCATGGGGTAGACAGATAACCGTGTACATAATATGGGTCTCTGCCATCCTGATTGTCCCGATTGTAGCAATCAGTCTAGCGTTCATTAACCTTTATTAATCTCACTGCAAACAATGGGCACAATTCCCAGAGCAAACAGATCAGAATAAAGATCCTTAGGCTAGAATATGATGTGTACAAATCTGCCGCTCCTGTGAAGAGCGATTCTTGTTCAGATCACTTTTCAGAGGCAAACTACAGAGATGGGGTGCCACCTTTGCACCTGGCAACCAGATTTCTACCAAAAACCGCACCGCAACCACATGCATTGCACATGGTTGTGGGAATTTGGTGGCAGCTCCCATTCCCTTGAATTGGCTACGCTCACTGGGCTTGGCACCCGCTGATTGTTGCATGTTGGATAGCTTTTTCTGCAGACACAAAGCATTTAGACTATAAACACCCCCCCTCCCCATATTCCTGTATTCTACTATTGAAACTATCGGGGTTGCTTAAAAAAAAAAAAAAATCAGCTCAACCATGCGTTTTACCCCCACCACCACCGCATGATTAAACTTGCCTTTACAGTAAAATGTACTTTTTCTGTGTTGTCCAGTGAGGTTTGAATATGAGTCACGTGGCACAAATTGGAGATCATGTGTAAAACTTTGTGAGATGACTGTTGTAAATGTAGTTGTAGATATGGGGAGCCATTTATAACCAGAAAATAAAATGCATCGCTATTTCTCCAGCTAAACTACATGCACATTTGTTTCTGCAGACTAAGCAGCTGTTGAGGATAGGGGGAACTTGAATGATCTAAAGCCATTTTCTCTTTTTTGGTCGAATGGTATTTAAATAATATGGACAGCAGTAAAGACACGTTCATTCATGAGGAACAGTCATCAGGGAAATTGTACATTGTGGCCACTAGTTGGCACTGAGGATCATAAGAGATACATTGTAGTAAGGGATACAATGTAATACCTGTAGAATGCTGGAAGGAATTGGTAAATAAACAAGGATCCTGTAGTAGCAGTGGTTACATTTATTTGCTAATTCCTTTCAGCATTCTGGAGTGTGAGGAAACTGCTTTCAGGCTAGGTTCACACTGCTGCGATCTGATTTTGATCTGACTTTCAGTGAGATTATGTAGTGCAACTTGGATAAGGTTTGTATGTTCTATGGGGCCAAAATTGCATTGGAATAGTACCAAACGACAGGAACCTTTTCCAAAATGGCACTGTGCTATTGTTTGTTTTCAATGGTGCCTGTTCACATCAATTCAAATCAATGTGGTTTCCATTGTCATGCGATTCTGTGTGACTCAAATTGCATCTGAAATCCCACTCCTGTGAACACAGCTGCTGAATACCACTGCATGCTAACAAATGCTCCCTTGTACATGCAGGCGTTTAAATCCTTATTTGTATGCTGTGTTCAGGGACAGAAAAGAAAAATCCCCAAATGTGTTCCCAGAGAAGCAGAATACATAAAAGTGCATAATGCGCACACATGCATTCTAGTGGTTAGAACGGGGGTGCTCTGCCTTTTGAAAAGTGAAGGCCACTTAAGGGATTTGGTAACCAGTGGAAGGCCACAATAAAATGAAAAGATTCAGAAATTAAAAATTTTTTATTTTGAATATCATAATGAACATTTTCTTTCTGCAGCCGCTGAATGCTGGTGGGAGAGAGAGAAGAAACCAGCTTTCGGTGGTTGTGGGAGGAAAATGGAGAGGATTGGTTCTTGTATGTCACCCCATCACCCCTCCTGTCCAAGTGTAAAACAGAATGAGACAGGGCGGCCACACAGGCTCCATGGAGCATGGGACCCCTAAAGCTACCCTAATGGTTGTGGGTGTGTGGTAAAAACATGTCTCAACTTTGGAGTTTTACCACTTCCCAAACCAGAAATAGAAACAAGCCCTTGCTGTCCTGAACATCCTCTAAGGCTGCTTTCACATTGAGGCTCTGTGATTTACCCACAACAAGGGTGCAGCGCACTTGTGGCTTTCCTGTGAGTTAGCTGCGCTTTGCCATAGATTTGTACTATATGTTGCCGGTAGGTTGCAATTTCTGAAAATTTACCAAAATTCATGCATTCAGGAGTTTCGGTGTACTTTCAGAAAGCACACCAAACCCGCAGGATATTCTAGAAGTACGCTTCCTTGGTTCGAGGTCGAGGGCCACAGGTCAAGCTCCCCTGGGCTAGAGTAAATGAATATTCTAACCAGAAGAATGAGTTTATACACATATTATACATCAATGCCACACACCTGTAAACATGCTTAATGGAGTGCCAAAAAGTGTATTTTTTAACCTGACTTTTTCTGTCAGATCCCACCAGAAAGATCCAGTGTGCATAGGAGACCTTTATTACACCCGTGTGTATGGGGCCTTACTCACTACAGTTGGTTAGTTCACACAGAACGAATGTTCATGCCTTTTTGCCGGATGAGTAGCTATGCAAAGTGTTTTATATATATATATATATATACTCTGAGCTGCTTGTTTCTACATTAATCAGCTTGAAACGTTTGAGATCATTCAGAACTCTTTCACTGGTGCAGTTCACCTCCTTTGAGCTGCATTTCACCTGCTGCAAGGTTTTAGCATTTCCATAGACCAGGGGTAGGCAACCTGAGAGCCGCAGGACTACAAGTTCCATCATGCCTCTGCAAGTCATAGCTGTAACTGTCAGTTTTGAAATCTTTGTAATGCCTCATGGGAAATGTAGTTCAACAACTAGAGAGCGGCAGGTTGCCTACCCCTGCCTTAGACCTATAATGGAAAAACAGTACCTGCTTGAACAGAACAAAAGCACAGGACACGGATCCTTACATTGCTTAGGACACCAATCATTGTGAAATAGAATGTTGCGAATTGCAGATAACAGCCATATCCACTCATGCTCCTCAGGATGTTGGCAATCATTTGCTCAACGATGGGCTCCTGGGGACTTGAACATTTGTCTTTTAAAAGGTTTTAGATATTCTTCCTTTTTGGCATACTGATATTAAATTCAAAGATAGTTGCTAGTGACTTTCCTAGGCGGTACTCCGGAGATGGAAATGCTCTGTACAGTAATCGGGCTAGATCTCCAGAAAACTGCTTTCAGATCTTTTTCTTTCTGCTTTTGGGTAGCCATCTTCTCTGAGATATCTGCTAGGAAATCCAACAGCAGGGGTGGAGGAGCAATCCAGGTCTTGACAACTTTGCTTTGATTCTAGGAGCCTATTTTTTTGTTTAATTTTTTTAGCATAGCATGGGTTGTCAGGGGCAAGGAAACTTTTGGACGACAAGCTTCACAATGCGATTTGCTGCGAGACGATGGCAAAACCACGCCACGTTTTAGGTGCCATTGAAATTAATGGCACCTGACCATGCATTTTTTGCAGCAAGTCCTCTGCAGTCCCAAAATGCCCAGGTGTAAATGGAGCCACCGTGGTTCACACATATGCAAATCTAGATGCATTTTCAAACTCAGACGCATGACGGGCTTGATATTGTGTTCCTATTGAAATGGTTAGCACAGATGTGTTCCACCCGCATTGTGTGCCATTATGGAAAGGGTACTGTATGATTTTTGCATTGAAGTTGGTGGGAGGTGATTTTTGCTTTGAAGTCAGTGGGAAGCAGTGTGAACCTAAGCGCCAGGACACAAATTCTAGTCAACATGGTGCCTTGGATTTGTCGAGCCCTGGAGTAATCCTCTTATACATTTGATATCTGAAAAGTTGCTCTAAAAGTGCGTACTGCATAATAGTGCATTTGCATTGTCCACGTAAGGAGAACCAATAAAGATCAGTTATGGTTTTTGGTGCTGTCCAATATATCCCCTGCCAAATGGTAAACTTAGGCCATCTCGATGTACCATGAGTTGGTACCCCAATTGGGTTTCAAACCAGATAAAAAATGCTCCAAGCCCCATTTGCTTCCTGTAGTGTTGGGCTGATATTTCCAATAATGAGAGTTGGCCTAAGGTTCCACATATGAAGAATCCATAGGGGAGGCAGGTTTTTTCCTCCTTCCTCAGAATGTCCAGTCTGGTTTTTATCTAGTCAGATTTTAGCAATTGAAGTGTTTTGTAAGATTGTGATTGAGTTTCCTGATTACAAAATCATGGAGTGGCTTTAAATTGCCCAGATCATTGGCATTGGGGTATTTACACCTTTCAACATGCAGTAAAAGGCTTTAAAACAAGCCATCTCCTACCTCCCTAGCTGCATTTACAGTGGAGTCATTCATCTTTTTTTAAAGTGCAGAGACTCTCAAGTCAGGTTTCAGTCAGTTTAAAGACTTACAAATGCCTTCTGTTGGTTTACATTAGAGTGTTGGAAGGCTGAGAAGTTTCTTCTGCCAGGAGCTGTGATTTCAGTGCCATGGTGAGCTTTGAAGAGGATTGTCTCCACAATGCCCATTAATACAGAAATGAATGAGGTCTTTGCTGTTTGTTCAGAATATGTAAACTCTCTAATGTGCATAGTTGGGCACAGGTTTACTTGAAGTGCATTTCCCAGGACATCCCCCTGCACAATGCCCCCATCACATTTTATACCTGCGATGCAGACGCCTTACCTGCTGGGCTCAGAGGCAGGCAGTGTTGATAGACTTCAGCACAGCCATATCCTGCAGCCAATGCTCTGAAACTTGTGCATTTTCCAGGCAGTTTTTATGACTGCTATTGCTCAAACACAAACCGACAGATGTCCTGGGCATGCATGTTACTGCCTGTAGAGGAGTGAAATAGAAGACTGAAACTATTCAACGCTGCTAGTTATGGTTTCCCTCCACAGAAAACGTATTTCATTGCAGGATCATCATAGCGGATACATAGGTGCTCACCTTTTATGTGAATATGCAGCTATAATGACTTATTAGATATGGTGGCGTTCTCTTGTCAACTCACACTGACAAGTCTGTGGTCAGTTTATCTTATCTGAACATCCTGTTATTGGGGTTGCAGAGTGAAGATGGCCAGCAGTGGAGGAATCCACAAATCTGTGTATTCTATATAATCTGTAAAATATGGTACAGCAAGAAGTCACATTAAATTATATTGTAAAGTAGAACTAAAGGCAAAGTTATTTTTTAATTTTTTTTATTTTGAATAAAGTAAGGGAGGGTTATAACCCCTGTCAGTTTTTTGCCATATGTCCCATTGGAGAGATTGACAACTCTTGTCAACTAAACTAGTCTTCATTAGAACATTTCATTCTACTCCTGTTCTGGTGACACCCCAAAATTTCTTTCACTCTCAGTGATGACAAAATAGAGAGAGAGGGTGAATCTTAAAGGGGATACAGACAGCAATAAAAAATAAAACCTGACTGGTATTCTAATCCCTCTCCACTCTATCAAAGGTACAAAATGGTTTTCCTTTAGTTATAGTTAACTGCTTCCTAACCACGCTATAGCCGGAAGACTGCTACAGCATGGTTGTCCAGTTCTAGGAGAGCGTCCATAGATGTCCTCTCAGAACGCTCCCCCAGCATTGTCGGTGATCGTCTTGTCCTACGGACACAGGTGATCACGTGATGAGGTAAAAGGCCAATCACAGTGGCCTTTAACACGTGATCAGCTGTGTCCTATGACATAGCAGATCACAATGTAAATACAGTTGCTGGTTATCGACTGCACTTTCCTCACTGTCACAGCGTGAGGAAAGTACTGCTGATAACCGGCCAATCTGATGGGAGATCTGCACTAATCAGTGGCCCAATTATCACTGCTGCCCAGCAGCAATGCCACCAGCTGTGTCACCTATCAGTGCCTGTCAGTGCCCATCATTGCTGCATATCGGTGCCTCCTCATCAATGCACATCAGTGAAGGAGAAAAATTACCTGTTTGCAAAATTTTATAATAGAAACAAACAAAAATTTTTTTTTTTGCTCTTTATTGTTTACAGTGCAAAAAATAAAAACTGCAGTGGTGATTAAATACCCCCAGAAGAAAGCTCTATTTGTGTGGAAAAAAATACAAATTTCATATGGGTACATTGTTGCATGACCACGCAATTGTCACTCAAAGTGCAACAGCATTGAAAGCTGAAAAGTGGCCTGGGCAGGAAGGGGGTAAAAGTGCCCGGTAGGCAAGTGGTTAAAGGTAATTACTGTAATCGGTTCAATGTGTACTTACTGGTAACCATAGCCTTGTATGGGTTGGTTAGATTTACATATATTCTAAATTCTTTCCTGTGATCTGGGGAAAAAGTGTATTTAGTGCAAAGGGATAATCTCAGAAATGTGTTTTTATTCATTGTCGGCCATGTTTGATGTGGCCAGCTCTGCTGCCCATGGGGCACTGCACTCCTCTTGGTAATGTTCCCCCAGCCCTTAGTAGTCATGGAATGGAGATGTCTAAAAAACGTCTATAACAATGAGCATTGCTGGTTGCCTGTGATAGATGAAGAAAAGGGAAGAGTTTGAACACATCATTTGTCCAGTTTTGCTGCAGACCAGAAATATCACTGAAGGAATTTTGTGTGATTATTATAACACTGTCTTTCTTCAGAACGGTCTTTTATCAGCTTGACTGCAACGACATTTAATTTTTGTTGAAAATAAGCATTACTCTTATTAGTCTATTATTTTAAATCTGATAAATACTATATAGAGGGTAAGGGGTGTACCAGAATGTTATCAAATGCCATCTTATTTTCCTGGATTACACTAATCCTAAAAATATGATGCCCTGTTACCAGCCTTGCCTTGACATTTAAAATTTGCCTGTAATTCAGGATTATGTGGGCTGGCCATGTGCCCTATGTTATTGATTGCCCAAAAGTCAATCCAGTTCAACCATATTAAAAAAAAAAAAAAAAAAAAAAAAGTTATAATCCTATACCTACAGTTGATCCAGAGGAAGGCAAAAAAATCAGCAAAGCATGATCCAATTTGCTCCTGCAGTGGAAAAAAACTTCCTTCCTGATCCCCTGAGAGGCAATTGGATATTCCCTGGATCAACTTTACCTATAAATGTTAGTATCCAGTTACATTCTGTGTATCTAAGAATATGCAGTACTTGTAAAACCGTAAAGTGTTATCTTAGCATTTATTGTCAAGAAGCAAAGGTCAAATATTTACCGCCTATTGGTTTTAGTATTTAACTACCTGTTTGGCAAAATGTTAATCTTCAATAATTTGGTGTTGTACTAAATTATAGATTTGCTTAAGTGTCAGGGGACAACTAAATTCTATGTTACTATTAACAAGACTCAGCGCTAATCCGTTCCTGTAAATTGAACACGAATTAAAGATTAGACCTTTTTTTTATCTTAACATTAGTTTAACATTTGTGAAATCCTAAACAATAGATACTGCACAATGAACAAAACATTCAAAATCTCATAAGGCATCTATGACGTTCATTATGTTTCACTTTAACATCACGTGTTGTTTTCTCGCACTTTCCCTGACAGGTGTACTTTGATGTTAAGATTGGAGATGATGAAATCGGAAGAGTAGTCATTGGCCTCTTTGGTAAAACTGTGCCCAAGACTGTTGATAACTTTGTTGCATTGGCAACTGGAGAGGTAAGCTAATGACATTTGAGGGTCCTGTTGACTTATTGATTCTTGGCAACCATGCAGCAATCTTCTTATTGTTCAGGTAGTGCCTAATGGATATGTGAGGGATGATTAGCTGCTATGGGTTTCTACTTTTCAATGGACTCTGTTACCAAAAAAGTGACTGGAAGCCAGAGTGTAACTGTACAGCTGCAGTTCTTGTTTTAGATCTGTAATCAAAGATGGCAGCTTGTCTTTACACACTATGATGCTTAATTTGAGTGGTAAATGCAGACAAGTGCACTTTCTAGATATCCAATTATCCTGAGCCTTAAATGTAGTATAGTAGAACAAAAGAAATGAGAAAATATGTACTTCTGGTGAGATTTAAGTCAGTGATGGTTTAGTAACTAGGCTTGTTAAGTGTGTATACTTATGATCAAATTGTTCATGCGTAAATTATCACATGCATGTCATAAAGCATTCAAACCCTTTCTCACAGATGACTCCTCTAATGCTTTATGCCTTTAGCCATGTTAATATCTGCGCATTGACAACAAACTATTACTTTTTGACATACATTTATTTTCCTTTCCTTGGACACTTTCTAGGATGGCTTAAAAACACACTTATTTCATTACATGCTGATTTGCAGAGTACATTGCATTGTTCATATCATACTTCACACACCAGTCTTGGGTCGGCATGTTTGCATTGGTCCATGAAGGCCCTTCTTGCCTCCAATTCTTGTACTGAAAGGTGAGTGCAAACCACTGAGCCAGTGTGCTGTCCATTTCATGGCTGTACTTATACTCCCTGTTCATTTGCAAATGTGAACAATTGGGTTTGCACTTAGAGACACTAATGCCAGCAGTTGTACTAGTGAAGGTTTTTAGGATTATAAACTCAGCTGAATAACAAAGAATCTTGTGTGCTGCTATGGATCAAAATACAAGTGCATTTGAAACATTTTTATAGAAATGTAACGTTCCCAAATAATTATGTAGCCGCTATAGCACAAACACCCCTCTTATGTTGGGCAAAATCAATAAAATAAAAATATTAAAGTGCAGTGCTACAAATCAAGAGTCTTCAATATGCTAATTAATAAAGAATATAAGTGATAATTTAAAAGTCCAAACAAAGATGCTTCTATATAGAATTTCCTTTCTCCTGTGATCACCAAGTGCCCCAACCAAAGAAATGTGCACAATTCCTCCACCAGATGTCTGCTCACCTCCAGCAGTGCAACCTCACATATGATATGTTTGGTCTAACTGCACTTTTGATGCCACAATGGACACTGAAGATCAACTTGATGATTGATGGGTGTTAATATCTCGCTCCAAATGCACCCCTCATCAGCAGTATTCCTCATAAATAAAAAAACTTCATGTGTGTAACACTTAAAAGCTTTATTTATCACTAGAACATATCCAAATGCACACTCACATGTGCCAGACCACAAAGTATAAAATGCATCCAATCAACCTCTGAAATCTTAAAGCTGAGCTCCACCCAAAAGGGGAAGTTCTGCTTTAAGGACTGCTCCCCATTAAGGAGTGGCACCTGTGGGGGGGGGGGGGGGGGGGGGGGTAGTGGGTACCCGAATTTGACAGGTACCTAGGCGATCGGAAGTGGAAGGTATCCTCCCTCCCTCCCTGTAGTCTTTTAGGACACGTGACAGGTCCCAGAAGACTACAGGACCATTCATGAAGCGCAGCGCTACTCGTGCTTGCTCAGTGGGTACCCAACTGTGAAGCCACAAGCTGTCACAGCCGGGTGCCCACACTGAAGATGCTGGCACCTGGAATACAGGACGGCCAGTGAAACCGGCTGCGGGGGACAGGTAGGTGGCTTTTTTAAAAGTCCGCAGCTACAGTTTTTGTAGCTGCTGACTTTTATTTTTTGACAGGGTGAGTGGAACTCAGCTTTAAGAATCTGTGCCGGAGTCAGCTAAAATATACTACAGCGGTGTATCCTCCAAACATGACAACATACCATAAGGAAATCATGTGACACAACTGTAAAAGGACCCTTAGTATACTACCAGAGTGTCTTCCCATCTAAGTTTGCTTGGAAGGATGTGTGACGCCACTGTGAAACGCCGACTCCTAGTTGCATTGTGACATCATCCAAAAGCTCCTCCCTGAAGAATTTCATCACCGATCAGATTCCCTTGAAAAGTCACGTGACCTATGACTAAACGTGTCAGGGTGGAGCTTTTGGATGACGTCATGATGCAATTTGGAGTTGGTATTTATCGCAGTGGTGGCACACATCCTTCCAAGCGAACTTAGATGGGAAGACACTCTGGTAGTATATGAAGGGCCCTTTTACAGTTGTGACACACAATTTCCTTATGATATGTTGTCATGTTTGGAGGGTACACCGCTGTAGTATATTTTAGCTGACTCAGACGGCAGAGATTCTTAAGATTTTGGAGGTTCGTTGGAGGCATTTTATACTTGGTGTGGTCTGGCACCTGTCACATGTGAGTGTGCATTTGGATATGTTCTACTGATAAATAAAGCTTTTAAGTGTTACAAACTATGTGAAGTTTTTTATTTATGAGGAATACTGCTGATGAGGGGTGTGTTTTGGTGTGAGATATTAACATCCATCATGTTGATCTTCAGTGTCCATTGTGGGACCAAAAGTGCAGTTAGACCAAACCTATCATATGTGAGGTTGCACTGCTGGAGGTGAGCAGACATCTGGTGGAGGAATTGTGCACATTTCTTTGGAGCACTCGGTGATCACAGGAGGAAGGAAATTCTATATAGAAGCATCTTTGTTTGGACTTTTTATATTCTCATCGCTTATATTTATTCTTTATTAATTAGCATATTGAAGTCTCATGAATTGTAGCGCTGCACATTTTTATTTTAATGATTAAACTCGGCTCAATGTCCTTTTTTAAATGTATACCTGTTTTTCCCAGGATGTTGATAGTAAATCTGGTACATTTTGCTTTTCAGAAAGGATTTGGTTACAAGGGCAGCAAATTCCACCGTGTGATCAAAGACTTCATGATTCAGGGCGGAGATTTCACTAGAGGAGATGGTACAGGAGGTCAGTTGTGTCTGATATTTGATTTTCACTCTTTCCTTCTTGATTGAGGAAACAGTTCAGGCTAATTAACCGCTTCCATGCTTCCCTATAGCAGAAATACTGCATGGGTGCGCAAAATTGTGTGTATATACAGTTCCGGGTAGGGGGCACGCGCCCTAACCGCACCGCCATTTGCGGTCTTGGCTGTCAATCACCGGGTCCCAGGCAGTGATTCCCCACCGGCAGCAGGCGATCTCCAAGTATTACTGACGGGGGAGAGACCTGTATGTAAACAGTACAGATCTTTTCTCGGTCAGCTCCTGCACACTGCTTTCTATAGCAGAACCATACAAAGCCGTGTGCTTAAAGTGAAACACACACACACAGCCCCCATAGCAAAACAGCACACAGTTAACCCTTTGATCGCTACACATATTAACCCCTTCCTGCCCAGTGCAATTAGTACAGTGTCAGTGCTTTTTATTAGCACCGATCACTGTATTGGTGTCACTGGGGATGTCAGTGACACTAATTCAGTCCCGCCAGAAGTTGCTGATCGCCACTATTACTAGTAGAAAAAAGAAACAATTCCAGTATATATACCGCCATTTGTAAACGATATAACTTTCACATAAACCAAATAATTTTACGCGTATTGGGATATTTTTTTTTTTAAGCAAAGACGTGTAATGGAATACATTTTGGCGTAAATTTGAGTTTGACCTGAAATTTGATTTGTTTTTAAAAAAAATTTTACTGGATATGTTTCATAGCAAAAAGTCAAAAATTGTTTTTTTTTGTTTTTTTTTTTTTTCAAAATGGTCAGTCTTTTTGTTTATAGCGCAAAAAATAAACGCACAGGCGATCAAATACCACCTAAAGAAAGCTCTATTTGTGGGGGGAAAAAAGGGCAGAAATTTTAAATTTGCAGCGTTGCATGACTGCGAAAGTGTCAGTTAAAGTAACGCAGCGCCATATTGCAAAAAATGTTGGTACTACTAGTGAGACATGGTTAAGGGCTACATTATTATTATTATTATACAGTATTTATAAAGCGCCAATAGTTCGCTCAGCGCTGTACATTACAAAGGGTGACAGAACAATACCAATACAATGCAAAACATGAGGGGATCGAGGGCCCTGCTCTTTCAAGCTTACAATCTACATGAGCAGAAAAATGTGTTTTACTATTATGTACCTAACTGGAACACAAGTGCCCGGCAGTCTGCCTTTGCTGCATTGTTTTACTGTCAAAGCGAACTCGGAGCTTTCTATCTGTATACTCATTTCATGTCAACGTACTGAAGCCTAATTGTCGGATCATCACAATGAGACCCCATATTCTCTCCCAAAATTCTTTTAAGCCCATTCGATAGTCACACAATTTGTAGTAGACTGAAATATGCTGCTGCCAGTAAGACAGTCAACATATTTTTATTTCTGTACCAAATTGTAATTTTCTGTGTAAACATGGCTATGGTGGACTTGTGGGACCCAAGTAACACATTACTACTTGTAATCCATTCTGGTTCACTGTCTGCCATCTCCAGCAATGCTTGTAGTATCTTCATTCCCCATAAATACATGGAAAAATAATGCTAAGCATGTCTCTTATCTAGGTAAAAGCATCTATGGGGACAGGTTCCCCGATGAAAACTTCAAGCTCAGGCACTATGCTGCTTACTGGGTGAGCATGGCAAATGCTGGCAAGGACACAAATGGATCGCAGTTTTTCATCACCACAGTTAAGACGTCTTGGCTGGATGGAAAGCATGTGGTGTTTGGTAAAGTGCTAGAAGGAGAGGTAAGAATTTCCAGACCTATTTTTTTTACGTTGATTTGAAACGTATCATTGTAGAACAACTCGTTTAGACGTAATTTTATTTTAACTGCAGATTTATCCTGAAGACTGACCTGTCACAGTCAGACATCTGAACAGTAGTTTTACTCTTGTTTTTAAATTCTGTAAATGTTGCCAACGCTTCTGCTTTTTTCACACTCTGCACCTCTCGGCAGGAGCGGAAAATGGCTGCAGAAATATTCTCTTTTTTTATGAAGTGAATTTGCAGAATCTTCCTTCTTAAATGAATTTGCAGAATCTTCCTTCTTAAATAACGTGTGTGTATAATTTGGGGTTTTTAACACTGCTGCTGTCTGAAGACATGTGTCATGCTCTAGGCTGCAGGGCCAGTTTTTCATTTCACCCATGTGGTTATGTTTTAAATTATTTGTATGCATCATAAGTGGTAGTTCATCCAGTTATACAGCGGTTTTGTAGGAAGGAGTATCTTTACAGATAAACCTATACCAAAATATCTGCACTCACCCTAAATTAATCAGATTGATATAGTAAGCACTAATTGTTTGCTTCATTTCTCACAGCCTTTCAAAAGTAATTGTTAGCAAAATCCCTAAAGTCCATTAGCTACTAAGTATTGTTTCTGTGTTTATATTTAATACTCCATTTTGTTTGAATTTATTTATATGATTGGCGGATTACACTGGTCAACACAATTTTTCTGGCATACGGTATTCCAACGGTTTTAAGGTAATTTTGGGGTGCTGATTCCAAATCTGGCATCAGTTTGTCTTATCACATCAGGTTTTTGAGATATTGAATATTTCATTTTCAATAAAAACAGCAAATTTATGCTCATATACGAATAGCTATACAGGCATACATACAAGAATAAGATACAATAATATTGAAACAAACATTTAATGACCCGTAGCACAAAGTTGTGAGTGACTGCATATCCATGTGAGTGAATGCATATTACCATGTAAGAATTGAATTGTGAAGATAAGAAAAATATGTGCAAAAAGGTCATTCCCAATAGTGATGTTAGGTCTGCATAAATGACCTCTTTTTTGATGATCTCCGATGTACAGCTTGTGGAATGTCTCCTCAAGGACCAGCAGTAATCTGCCATCATATTTTGAGTCCCATCGGCCTTGGTAACTTTCTTCCATAACTTTAATGTCTTCATGAAAGCGTTCACCTTGCTCTTCGCTCATGTGACCCATGTTCTCTGGAAACTGGGCCAAGTGACTATGTAAGTAGTGAACCTTGATGTTCATTCTACATCCAAGTGCTGGGAAACTCAAGAGCAGCTCCTCCACAATCTCTCGATAGTTGTCCACTTTCCTGTTCCCAAGGAAATTCCGCACCACATCAGAGAATGCATTCCAAGCTCTAGCCTCTGCAGCAGTCATTGCTTTAACAAAGTGTGGATCCCTGATCAGTGTTCCTATTTGAGGGCCATCAAATATTCCTGCTTTTTTATTCTCGGCACTGAGACTTGAAAAGGTTGAACATATATAGCTGAAGCAGTCTCCAGAGTGATCAAGAGCTTTTACGAATTGCTTCATTAACCCAAGTTTTATGTGCAGTGGGGGAAATACAATTTTATTCCTATCAAACCATGGCTCATTCTTGATGTTCTTGTCACCAGGCATCAAACTGATTCTTGGTGGCCAGTTCTTTTTAACCCAGTGTTCTAATGTAGCCATACTGTCCCAGTAGGTCAGGAAACAAGGGTATTCGGTGCGACCTCCTTGCAGAAGGAAAATAATTAAATAAATGTGGATATCTACATAAAATATTATAAACACACTATCCTAAAAATATAACACCATATTTTAACACTAAAGCAGTCACTGACTCGCAGTAACTTGCAAACAAAAGTGACAGTTAATTTCGGCTAAAATCAATGAAAATGGGGTATGGTGATAGCATAAAAATGAGATAGAGCAAATCTGAGATCAGATTTGGAATCGGCACCCTGAAATTAGTCTAAAACAGCTGCAAAAGTCCAGGCCAGAAATTTTTTATTTTTTTTTGTTTACCAGTGTTATTTTCCTATGTGTTTAATTATTAGTTTTTTGGTTTTTTTTTCTCTATATAGGAGGTGGTCAGAAAAATTGAATCCACAAAGACAGATTCCCGAGACAAGCCTCTCAAAGATGTAATCATTGCAGATTGTGGAATAATTGAGGTAGAAAAGCCATTTGGAATTGCCAAAGAGTAATAGGGGAGCCCACCAGGTCAGAAAACTCTCTTCCATCACTGGATCTGCCTGAGCTTGAAGATTTCTTTAATCAGTTGCCTTTGTTCAGTGACTGGCATTGAGCTGTTTACCACCCAACCAGTACTGTGTATGCAGCACTGGACTAATCGGACCGCGACCAAGACAAGTGACTGTCTAACATCACTTATTGGAACACAGTAAATTGACTTGTACATTCCACGCACTAAATATTCAACGTTTTTAAATTTGGAATGAGAAAAGACCGTGATTATGTAAAATTCATTGGAATAAAACGGTTTCTATAAAATGTATGGTGTTTTGGATTTTTTCTTTAGGTCTATGTTTGAAAAACTGAATTACTTCCAGAAAAATGTCCTGACTAGAAAGGGGGACTGGGGCTACACGAAGGAGACCAGAAATAGAAGCACATCACAGGACTGTGGCTGAGACAGTTGAGTGCATAGCTAGCTGTGTGGGTGGGAGAATTTAACCACCTCACGTCCGGCTGTTGTATATAAACGGCCAGATAGTGGCCGTTTATAAACTGCCACCCCGCCCCTTGCTTATGTGCGCTCCCTGGGAGCACCCATTGCCCACTGTGTCCTCCATTGACACAGTGGAACACCGATTGTCGCACGGGACCTCTGTGTGAGGTCCCGATCATGTGATCACTGATTGGCCAATCAGTGATCACATGCAGAGTAATAAGCAAGATGTAACTTCCTGACATCATTGCTTACTACCTGTAAAATCTGTGAATGATCACAGAGATCACATGGCACAAGGCTATTCACAACAGCCTTGTACCATGTGACAAGCTGTGACCAGTTACAGCTCACACAGTAGTTCTCAATGGCTGCAAGAATGCAGCCAGAGAGGAGAAATGATTGCTTTTACAGCCTTTTATGGGTGTAAAAGCAATCCGTGTAAAAAAAAAAAAAAAAAAAAAAAAAAAAAAAAAAAACTTTATCACCCCCCACAAGTAGTACAGTGTCACCATGGTGACACTGTGCTGCTAGGGTGACAGTATGTATAAAAAAATAAATTAAAAAAAAGTTTACATATTATAATTTTTGGTTATAAATTTGATATATAGATATATCTCTAAACTATTATTTTTTATTTTTTTTTATGAAAGATAGAATAAATTTTGGCCAAGATTTATGATGAAATATTATTTTTGTAAAATTTTATAACCCTTTTTTTCAAAATTTCCGGACTTTTTCATTTACATAGCAAAAAAAATAAAAATCCCAGTGATGAATAAATCTTCATCTGTCTCAAAAAATGCTAAACAATTTATATGGGTACAGTGTTGCATGACCGCGCAATTGTCATTCAAAGTGTGATAGCACTGAAAGCTGAAAATTGGCCTGGACAGGAAGGGGGTGAAAGTGTCTGGACATGAAGTGGTTAAACAGCTGCAGGATCACAGAAGCTGGTGGTGTTGGGTTGTCCAAGCAGGCATGTTGCAGGACTGATACTGTGAGTGTGTAAGGTGTGCTGAGCAAATCCTGTTTAGAGGCAGCAACAAGTCTAAAAACAAGTCCATAAACTAAAGGCAAGCACAAACACCCACACTCTATGCTGCACTTCATAGATCCAAAAGATAAGTCTCATGCAATTTTGATTGGATAGTGTATGGGGGACTTGCCTTAATTGGAAAACATCAGCATGTGGATCTACAAAACTGCGTATAGGTAATAAAAGCATCAACAATTTGTAAACCTTTTGTTGCAAACTCCACTGGCTGGGGAAGGTTGCCTTCTGAGTGGGCTGGGAACCCAAGTGCTACAAAAGAGAAAAGAGATGGGGAGCGAGGTGCCAAGCCGCCAATAGTGTAGCAAAATGTATTGAATAAAAAAAGGATATAAAGTGCAATAATTATGCACTCAGACATTGCTGGTAATGAGCCATTGAATCAAGCTCCAAATGGAGACATCCGTGCAGAGTCTAGTCCGCATCAGTGCTGTTGTCAGAAGCGCTGTGAAGCGGAGGCAGAGATCCAAGCAAGCCCACATAGCTGCCACTGGAGACAAGATCTGTCAGAGAGCTATCCAAGTATCTGTCAAACGTCCAGGGTGCTGTGACTAATCAGAAGGCATTTTGAAGGCCAAACCACACCTTCATCAGCCTGACATTTACCCTAACCTCCAGGGATTATATACTCACTGTCATTAACCCTATAGTGCCCAAAGCAATTGTCTGCATAGGCACACTGAGGGGAGCAGAGCAGTAAAAACTGTATTTTGACATAAAGGAATAAAAACTAGGAATAAAACAAAATGCTGAAATATTACAAAAACTTAATTTAGGAACATACAGCCTAAGGCAACAAATAGGGGGGATATTTGATGAGCAATAGGCTCCAACAAATGAAAAATGTATTTAATGATAAAGTAATGGAAAAGGAGAAGTTACATGATCTCATGATAAGAAGCCATACAAACGGTATAAGTAAAGCGTGCATCGGGTGAAATAAATGCACCTAATAGTGCATCTAACTATACGCATACCTAACTCCAAATGATCCCATGTTGTGAGCAAACACCATTCAGAGATGAGAAATTGTTATAAAACCGGTTAAGTCAATTTTTGAGGTACATATTTTCCAGTGCTTAAAGTGTGAATATACTACAGGTGCATGGTGGCTTCTATGCATAAAAGTGGCCACCCGCCCCAAGTCTATAACTGGCTTATGAAGCAAGGACACATAAACAGGCATCACATAGTGAATAAAGGGGAGAGAACAATGTTGTTGGACAGCTTGCTAACAACCGAATTAACCTGTCTAACAGTATGCGTTTATAACAGGGGTTTAGTTAGCACACATTTGCAAATACATACGTAAGCCACAGAGCCACGACACGGCACCCTGGTAATCTGTGGTCCTAACTCTAAAATTTGTGAGTCCCCATAGTAGAGGCACATGCATTTAATGGATAGATCATGGGCAGGTGGACCTGAGGGAGCCACCCCTCTTAAAGGCAAAGGAGTGCACTGGACCCCAGCATGTAGCACAATGGCAACCAGGGTCCTAGTGCACCCACGTACCAAAAACTCAAACATGCATAAAAGTGGCCACCCGCCCAAGTCTATAACTGGCTTATGAAGCAAGGACACATAAACAGGCATCACATAGTGAATAAAGGGGAGAGAACAATGTTGTTGGACAACTTGCCAGCCAGCTTGCTAACAACCGAATTAACCTGTCTAACAGTATGCGTTTATAACAGGGGTTTAGTTAGCACACATTTGCAAATACATACGTAAGCCACAGAGCCACGACACAGCACCCTGGTAATCTGAGGCTCCTTTGCCTTTAAGAGGGGTGGCTCCCTCAGGTCCACCTGCCCATGATCTATCCATTAAATGTATGTGCCTCTACTATGGGGACTCACAAATTTTAGAGTTAGGACCACAGATTACCAGGGTGCCGTGTCGTGGCTCTGTGGCTTACGTATGTATTTGCAAATGTGTGCTAACTAAACCCCTGTTATAAACGCATACTGTTAGACGGGTTAATTCGGTTGTTAGCAAGCTGGCTGGCAAGTTGTCCAAGAACATTGTTCTCTCCCCTTTATTCACGCATGGTGGCTTCTAGCCCAGCATGCATGTAGACGGATATGCCAAATGAATGACCATAAAAAAGCAGGGAAGAGCAATGAGAAAATGGTGAAGGGGAAAAGCGCAATAAGGAGAAAGGGGGAGGAAGGAACAAGAGAGGCAATGCCTAGTATATCCATGGTGGTGTGCTACTGGATGTAATGGAACAAGGCTGGAGGTGGGGGGGGAGTGTACTAGGAAGGACTAAAGGATTATTTGAACTTCTAGTTCCTCTTTCAGTCCACCCGGTGATAGACAGTTCAGTTTGAATATCGGGTATGGATTGGATGGCTGTCAGGGAGGCTGGGTCCCTTTCATGAGATGCAAAGTGACATGCAAGAGTTGCATTTTGAGATTTAGTCCTTGAGGCTCATCCTGTGTTCCCCTAATCTGGTGCTGAGAGTTTTAATTGTCTGGTCAACGTAACACATATTACAGGGACAGGTGATCAAGTAAATCGCATAACTGGAGGAACAGGTCAGAAATTAATTTGTGAATGTATTGCTCTAGAAATATCACAAACTGTTCTGGCCATTTGTTACATGTGCACATATGAGGCATTTGTTTTCTTGAAGCAACAATGCATCCCTACCAGGGTTATTATCTTTGGAATGGATGGTGGTTGGAGTATTGTTGGGAACAATGAGATTCAAGTGTAAGGTCTTTCATGGGGTTGTTTGAGCTGCAGGTAGTCCCCACTTTGTTTTTTTGTTTTCTTCTTGAGCCTGTTAGCAATTGTTTGTTGTATTGTCCACCCCTCAGTTTTGGATGTCCTGAAGGTTAATGACTTCCTGTATACCTCAATGAACCAGAAAGTAATTAGCATTTTTGTACTCGATGTAAAATAATTTGCTTGGAATCCACTGAGGTACACAGTTTCACCCCTCTGTGTTTATGGTCAACCTTTTGGTACTGCTACAAACTGAGGTCTGCTGGTGGTAGAAGGGGCTATCTTGGGTGGCCTACTCCCCCCTTTTTTTTTTTTTTTTTTTTTTTTTTTTTTTCTTGCCAGTGTCAAATTCTCCTGTAAGCATTATTATAGCCTGAGTGTTAGACTTCCTGTGAACTCTAATTTTTTTTTTTATTTTATTAAACCTGGAATACAAAATTCCTGTTTTCTTGGAAGACACAATTCCTACCCCTCTGTTTATGATCATGCTCTTGGTATTGGTTTTCTACAAAACTGGGGTAAGCTGGTAGTAAGAAGGTACGTTTTTTTTGGGTTTTTTTGTTTTTTTTTTTCTTGGCTGTCCTGCAGGTTTTTTTTGTTTGCCAATGTCCACTTCTCCTGTAGGTGGCAATATAACCCAAAAGATAAACTTCTGTGTCCCTCAATTGACTCCAAGAAAAGGATTTTAGGATTCATACAAAAATCCTAATATTTTAAGCGTAAA